ATGCCCCTTATCCAGTCTCCCCTCCCTCCTCCCCAATAACCATAGATTTGTTCTCTCATCTGATAGGTAATTGTTCCTCTGTTGATTCGTTGCCTAGATGATCTGTCCAGTAGTGAGAGAGGTGTGTGCAGGTCCCTCACTGTTATCATAGAGCAGATGCTTCTGTTACTCTGGAGTGTGCTTTGTGGAGAGATGTCCTCTTCTCCTTTTTTTGGTCTCTGCTGTTGACTCTCCTTGTGTCAGTGCAGTTGAGTGTCTGATGTGCCATCTGCACAGTGGCTGTGACTACTGCTATGGCCACTAGCCACTTTTGCAGCATCTGTGGCTATGGTGGGCTACCCACGTGGAAATGGTGGTTTTGGTGTGCTCTTTACGTGGTTATGGGCAGGTTTGGCTTTCCCCGGCTCCTGCCTCAGGACCCTGGGGTTGGGAGAGGGGGCAGCAGCAGCGTGCCTGGTTGCAGGTGGGTTTCCAGGATTATTTCTTGTTCTCTCTTACACTGAAGATAGAGCCCACTGGGGATCCCAGCTGCATGCTGGATTTCCAGTTGGGCTCCCTATCTTGCATGAGCCCTAAGATTTAGCACCTGTTTCCTGCATTCCATTCTATTCAGCTATTAGGAGAGAATCTAAAGGGTCACTAGGATTGGAAAATACCCTCAGTGTGAATGAAATCTGTCTTGCATGTTTGCTTGTCTCTTGTGGTTCCTCCATCACTTTGTTTTTTGGTTTCTGCAGATTCCTTATTTTCTCACCAGCGTGGGTTTCGTTCTGGGGTTTTTTTTTGTGGGGTTTTTTTTTTTTTTTGTAATTTTAAATTTTATCCACTTTTTGCTTGTTTTCATTGGAAGGGTTATGAATATCTAATTGCTTCTTCATGATGAATTCTATAGTAATAGGTACTAAGTCCAAAATAATCTTTTGCCTAAGTTACAGAAATGGGGAGCAGTCAGAAAAAAATGTCTTCTTCCATCTGTGTGTGCCGTGCACTCAGACAAAACAAATGGATTCTGATACCTGTGAAAGCTCCAGAACAGAAATTCTTACCTTGGCATGCCGCCATTCCTTCCCTTTATCCCAGTAAAGCATCACAGACTTCATAAGCCATTGTTAGTGTTGGTAGGATCCTGTTTCTCAAGTGTGGGGATGGAGCTATTACTATAGAATATTTACTTGTTCTAGCTTCAATTTAAATCTTGGGGTGCTTGATTGGCCACTATTTGACATAATAGAATTTGTTAACCTTCAACAAAATCCTCAAGGAATGTCTTAAAGATACTAAAAATTGGGCAGCAAAGTTTTGATTTGGCAGTGGTTTTTACCAGTTATGTAATGTTAGTGTTGAAAACACTTCAGAAACTGAATTGCCTGGTATAATCTTTTGCCTTTGTAGTTAGCATTAGGCTGGAGATAGGAGTGTGCTCTGATATTTCTGCAGAGGATGTTTTTTTTTTTTTTTTCCTTTTTGTCTCTTTTTTACTGACTGGTAACGGGATCGCAACCCTCGGTGTCGCGCCCGTACCGGGGACCGGCAACGGGATCGCAACCCTCGGTGTCGCGCCCGTACCGGGGACCGGCAACGGGATCGCAACCCTCGGTGTCGCGCCCGTACCGGGGACCGGCAACGGGATCGCAACCCTCGGTGTCGCGCCCGTACCGGGGACCGGCAACGGGATCGCAACCCTCGGTGTCGCGCCCGTACCGGGGACCGGCAACGGGATCGCAACCCTCGGTGTCGCGCCCGTACCGGGGACCGGCAACGGGATCGCAACCCTCGGTGTCGCGCCCGTACCGGGGACCGGCAACGGGATCGCAACCCTCGGTGTTGCACCTGCACCGTGCTCAGCCAGTGAGCGGGAACCGGTCTCCACATGGGATCCGAACCCTCGGCGGGAGCGCCACCGCGCTCCCAAGCGGCGCACTCTCCAGTGCGCCACCGGGCCGGCCCTGCAGAGGAAGTTTTGAATCCATGCAGTAGGAGTGCTCCTCCTGCGTTTGCAGCATCTGTTGTACAGTATCATCCCACAGTGAGGTGTAGTTTACTGTGCTACATCTTACTTTAGAACTATAATAAAGAATTCTACTCTTTCTTTGTACTTTGCATTTAGGTCTGCTACCCTCACTCCATCCATAACCATAATTCCTCAAGCTGTTGAATTGTGTGGCTTGGCATATATTGGTCGGCTTGGATTCTGGAGTTTTGTGTTAATATACTAATGTCTTCAAAAGCATAGATAAAAGAAATGTTGACTTAGAAGAGACTTAGAAATTACCCAACCTTTTAATTTCCTGAATAGTTTTAGCTGTGAAAATCTTAATTCTTGTAAAGGCTTGCTTGGAAACCCAACAGATAAACTTGGAACTGGGGGGTTTTGAAAATCACTGAGGATTCTGACCCCTTCATTTTGTGAATGAACATTTTTTAATCCAGAAAAGTTAAGTGACAGTGATTTATAGCTCCTTCCACTCTTATCACTCTGGTTTACTCTTCCCAGATCTTCTAATCAGATTACGGTTTTGATTTGTTGCTAGGCTTTTGGGGGGAGTACAGTGATGGTACCTCTGGGGGCTGCTTGTGGAAGTGACTCTTGCCTGCCAAACTGAGAGGAACTATTTTTTTGTATTATAGCAATCTTTTTTTATCCCCTTCTGATTTTTGTTTTTTTCCTCCTGTCATTTCTTAGCTTTTCTTTGGAGCAGATCAGATTTATTACCATGACTGGCTAATGAGCATAGATTATTTTCTTTGTGATTGAAGGAAAGGAGAAAAGAGCATCAACATTTATGGGACACCTGCTTATGTGCCAGGCACTGTCAGCGCCTTAAAGAAGTTAAAACTTGTTTAATTTATAGTCACGCTGTAAAGCAACTGCTGGCATTTTCCTTTCACAGTTAGGAAACTGAGGCACAGAAAGGCTACTACTTGACCCAGAGTGGAAACTACTGTGCAGGCAAAGGGATGAGGGAAGGGCTTTCTAAGCAGGCGTGAAATTACAAGTAGGACCTCTGGGGTGTGTTTCTGTGATTGGTCTAACCCTGGAAAGAGAATGTTCACATGTTATTCTGTTCTTAGTTTATCTGAAGGGCCAGAAATACTTTCCTAAGATGTGTATGCAGGTATTTTATTGTTCTAGATGGATAGATGTATGAGGAAGTATTTTGTATGATAGCAACTTTTCTTCTATTTTTGTGGGGCAGGGAGTTATACTTATTTACAGCAGGTGGCACAAATCTGGGCTTATTGATTATTTTCAATGTACATGAGGAAATTTTGTGACAAGGTACTAGAGCTGGCAGAGGTGGGGGTAGGACTTGCAACGTTCCCACCAGTTTTGTTCAGTGGATTTTGGAATTGCAGTAATAATTGAATTTGATGTTGTTATAAAATGTTAATTGATGTCCAAATTTAGAAATGAATTGTATCTATTAATTAGTGATTATATCAAGATTTTCTATGAAGCCTAAACATAATTCCTAAATTAAAAAAGTAAAGACAGTATAATGTATATAGAAGTGCTGGTTGGCTGAAGGATGTTATAAGAAATGTCTTGTTTTGGGCCGACCCCGTGGCTCACTCGGGAGAGTGCGGCGCTGGGAGTTCTGCGGCGCTCCCGCCGCGGGTTCGGATCCTATATAGGGATGGCCGGTGTGCTCACTGGCTGAGCATGGTCACAAAAAAAGGACCCCCCCAAAAAAAGAAAAAGAAATGTCTTGTTTTGGTGGAACTTGACCATCACCTCTCCTATTTTTAATGGTTACTCATTTTCTGTCGTGATCCATCAGGAAGTTGAGGATGCAGTGTCTAACAAAGGTTCTGGGCTTCCTAGGCATAGGAATTGAGCACAGTAAGGCAGCAGTAGGTGTGGGATTCTGAGCACTGATGTGCTGTTAACCACATGTCTAGTGTAGTTGAGGAGGTATATTGTGTGTGTTGTCTTCTATGTGACTCTGCCAAGTGATATTTCGGTATTTTTCTTAAGTAATATTTTATCAGTTATATTTATCTGGTAGTATGTTTTCTTGGAAATTTTCAGAGTGAACATATCCAGAGTTATCACACTATCAGAATTGCTTCTCTTTCCCTTTGTAAGTACATTTCAGAGTCTCTCTTGTTGTGTCTGGGTACGTGTGGTCACCCATACTACTACTCAGGGCCGCAGCTCCTCCTCCTCCCTTTTACTTGTTTTTCAGGGACCTCACATGCACCGAATTGAGTGATCATGTTCCTGAGACCATGACACACTATGATTGTGCAAGGCCCTTCTTTTGCTACATTTCGTTTTATTTTTCCCTTTTTCCATGTCCCCAGTCCCCTTCCAGCACCTGCTTCAAGTATAGTTAATGTGCATCCTTCTGGTCCACTGTCTATGTACTATTTTTTATGGTGGTTAATATAATTTTTCTTTTTTTAATTTAACATGTTTTTGAGATTTATCCATGTTTCTTTATGCAAGTCTATTTCGTTAACTGCTGTGTCGTGTGCTGTCACATTTTACATATCCATTCCCCCAATGGTGGACCATCTAGGCTGCTGTCCGCTCTGCAGTCATTGATGATACTGCAGTAAACGTTTTTGCTATCTTCAGTTCTGTGTGAGAATTTCTCAGGCGTATTCTTCAAAATTGCTAGGCCACTCAATATGTGCATATTTGCTTTCATAAAATTTCAGCTCTCAGAGATGACTATCACATTTCACTCCTGTTAGAGTACACGATATAGCAGGAGCTTTCATTCATTACTGGGAATAAAGGAACACCTTATGAAAGTGTGTAAGTCCTTCATTCAGGCTTTGGTTTTATGAGAAAGTTCCTGTAAACTAATTATTAGTCTTCTTATTAAAAACCTTTACTCTTCTATATCATCCTTCATTTTCTTTCTGTAATGTTAGATAATGATAGGGAGCATAAATAGTTTTTAAAGGATGTCTCCATAACATCTGTATAATTGTGGCAACTTTATGGAAATACTGTAAGTACTAAGATTTTTGTTTTTCATTTTAAGGGCGCCAATGCTTCGGCATTAGAGAAAGAGATTGGTCCAGAGCAGTTTCCAGTCAACGAGCACTATTTTGGATTAGTTAATGTAAGTATCCATTGATACTTAGCTTTCAGAATTATGTTTAGAAGCAGTTTGAAAAAACATGAATGCATTTCATAATTTATTAAAGAAAAACTGTATCAGTATAATTAAATGCCAAGAGTCTTGATTTGTAATTTCGAAATAATCTTTAATGGAAAGGGAAATAAAGTTGCCTGAAGTCTCAAGTAAGAATCTTAGATATAGAACAGTTTCTATCTTACCAGTCTGATTTTTCCTATTTTGTGTGTCAAAAATTTCTCTTAACCAAAATTTCATATAGTGTAGATCAAGTGATATCTTGATTCTTAGAGAATTATTTTTCTAAATATAAGTGGTACAAATGTACAAGTGTAGATATAGCTGTGCAAATGCCTCCACCTGCCTATAGGGTATTTGGCAGTTTACTTCTGGTATTGCACCAGTACTACAGATAAAAAAGTACAAAATACAGGAAATAATCCTTGTGGAGGTCACTCTAGTAATTATAGATTATTAACATTTTGGGAGAGCTTTAGAAGTTTTAACTCTGAATGTTATCTGCTCTGAATCATCAGCCAATACTACAAACCTGTGTTACAATAATTATTGTGGTAGTTTGTTTTATACTGTTAGGTGGATTTATGATAGGGGGTTTACGAGGGTACTTCAAAAAGTTCATAGAAAATTTTGTATTATATTTTAATTGTATTTTTCCATAAACTTTTTGAAGTACACTCACGTGTATTGATGATGAAGCAGGTAACACAGTAAGTTATATTGAACAAATTGGTGTGTCACCGAATACTAGCATGTAATTATGATGCATGAGATGGATATGTTGTGGACTTAGAGGAAAGCAGTTGGATTGTGTTTGCCCTTGTTCTGGGAATCGTCTCTGTGTATGCATTGTGCTTATAACAGGACCAGCAGTACTCTGCCCCTCCCCAGAACAGGCTACTCATTACTCTTCTAGCTATTGTTTTTGGAACTTACATTCGAAATAAATACTGCCATTTACTAATCTATCGACTTCCTATTATGGTAGACAAGAAATTTAGTTCTACCTCCATCCCTAACTTCACTTCTCCCATTCTCCCAATATGCTTATTACATCACGGTCTTTAGTTTAATCACTGTTCAGTGTTTTTGTTGTTATGACTATTTTAAATATTATTCCCAGGTGAATCTAGTTATACTGTGACTGTCTTTTCTTTCCTTTTATATAACTTTGTTTGCCTGGAATTAATCACCGCTTTATTTTCCCACATCTTTAATTTTCGTTTATTCTTCCCTAAGTCTTTCACAGAACTAAAAAAACAAAAGACTTTCTTACCCTTAGTTTCCACTCGGTCCTCCCCGTCGGGTGAACTCTCTTTCCCCTTTGCCCTCCCTCTGGAGCCCCTGTCAGGTTCTTTTGGTCTGGTCTGCGCCTTTGCCCAGGTGGTCTTTTTCCTACCACTCTGACATTCTCTGCACTTCTCCCCTCTTTTTCTAGATCCCCTGTCTTGTTTTTTGTTTGTTTTTTTCCCCTTACTTTGTGGAACACGTTCTATAGTAGCTTCTTTAGGAGGTAGGCATGGGAGATATACTTTGACACATTGTGTATTTTAAAATCCTTTGGTTATTGTTGTAGCCAGAGATGGATCCTAGATTAAATTACCTTCCTGCAGAATTTTTAAGGCATTGTTCTGTTGCCTCCTGGCTTCTGTTGTCACTGTTGAAAATTCTGATGCCCATCTGATTCTTGATCTCTAATTTCTTTTTTTGTTTTAAAATTTCTGGAGACCTTTAGCATTTTCTCTACCCATATTGTTTTGAAATTTCACAATGGTGTCTTAGTCTCCCTTTCCTGTTATTGCGTTGGGTATTTATGGAGCCATTCAGACTGAAGACTCATTTTCCTCAGATCTAGAGCATTTCTGATGCTAATTTTTAGGATAATTTTCTCCCTATCATTGTCTTTTTTGATATACTATTGGTTGCACATAAAAACACTTAAGACTAGGGCCGGCCCGGTGGCGCACTGGATAAGTGCGCCGCTTGGGAAGCGCGGCGGCACTCCCGCCCGAGGGTTCGGATCCCACATACAGACCGGTTCCCGCTCACTGGCTGAGCGAGGCGTGGGGGCAACACCGAGGGTTGCGATCCCGTTGCCGGTCCCCGGTCCGGTACAGGGGCAACACTGAGGGTTGTGATCCGTTGCCGGACACGGAAAAAGACAAAAGACAAAAAAAAAAAAAAAAAAAAAAAAAAAAAAAAAAAAAAAA